CCTTTACTAAATAAGAGCTATATATTTTTTTCTCTTGTGTGCAATACACGTGTATGGAAATAAAAATAAACAACGCTATACTAATTTATAGTAAATACTATATTGTATGTTTAAATATATTAAAGTTTGTTATACTGTATAATATAGTATTTACAGCACAGTGTTAATGAAGGATCTGCATACTGTAGTGTTAACTATACTTTAGTTTTATATACTTTTTTGTTTTACCACAGTAATCTGTTTCTTGTACTATATATATATATATATATATATATATATATATATATATATATATATATATATATATATATATATATATATATATATATATATATATATATATATATATATATATATATATATATATATATATATATATATATATATATATATATATATATATATATATATATATATATATATATATATATATATATATATATATATATATATATATATATATATATATATATATATATATATATATATATATATATATATATATATATATATATATATATATATATATATATATATATATATATATATATATATATATATATATATATATATATATATATATATATATATATATATATATATATATATATATATATATATATATATATATATACACGCACACATTTGTTTGTATTAGGTAACAATTTTTTGTTCAGCAAAATAACATTTTAATGTAAAAATTATATACATATATATATATATATATATACATATATACATATTTTGTGGACTGTAAAAAATTAAGTTGCCTCAACTTAAAATTATAGGGTAATTTTCTGCATAGATTTTTTTGGAGTTGACTCAACTTTAAGCCCAAGTGAACATAATTTGAGTCAACTAAAAAAAGCTGCAGCAAGTTGCCTTACAATTTTAAGTTGTCAGCTTTTTTTTCACAATATATTGTAACAGGAAGGTCGAATGAGTGCAAACACTTTTTCACAGAAGTGTGCTTTCACATTTGGCTCTGAATCCTCAATTCAATCAACAAATCGCCTGTTTTTTATATTACCTGAGCCTATTATGCATTTCATTCTAATATTTTGTATGTGAAAATGCATGACACGCTTTCCTTTGAGTGCAGTGTATATATACGCACACATTTTTTGTATTAGGTCAGTAGTGTTTCTTCAGCCTATTTTTAATAAAAAACACATTTTTTCTGTATTCAGGTATCACTGTAATTGTACTCTGTAAAAAAGTTGCCTCAGCTTAAAAATGTAAGGCAACTTTTTTGAGTTGATTCAACTTGAAACCCAAGTACTGCACTTAACTTACATTAAATAAGCACTCATTACAACCGAGGTGTGCAGAAGAGCATCTCTGTCTGAACACACAACATGTCCAACCTTAAAGCAGATGAGCTACAGCAGCAGAAGACCACACCGGGTGCCACTCCTGTTAGCTAAGAACAGGAAACTGAGGCTACAATTTACACAGCCTCACCAAAACTGGACAATAGAAGATTGGAGAAATGTTGCCTGTCCTCGAGTCTCGATTTCTGCCGCAACATTCGGATGGTCGGGTCAGAATTTGGCATAAACAAAATGAAAACATGGGGTCATCCTGCCTTGTATCAATGGTTCAGGCTGCTGGTGGTGGTGTGATGGTGTGGGGGATATTTTCTTGGCACACTTTGGGCTCATTAGTACCAATTGAGCATCATGCCAACGCCACAGCCTACCTGAGTATTGTTGCTGACCATGTTCATCCCTTTACCACAGTGTACTCATCTTCTGATGGCTACTTCCAGCAGGATAACGCACCATGTCATAAAGCACGAATCATCTCAGACTGGTTTCTTAAACATGACAATCAGTTCACTGTACTCAAATGGCCTCCACAGTCACCAGAGCTCAATCCAATAGAGCACTTTTGGGATGTGGTGAAACGAAAGATTCACATAATGAATGTGCAGCCGACAAATCTGCTGCGATTGTGTGATGCTATCATGTTAATATGGACCAAAATCTCTGAGGAATTTTTCTGCGCCTTGTTCAATCTATTCCATGAAGGATTAAGGCAGTTCTGAAGGCAAAAGAGGGTCCAACCCGGTACTAGTAAGGTGTACCTAATAAAGTGGCCGGTGAGTGTGTATACAGTATATATTACACAGTAAAAAAAAAAAA